CTCAATTCAGATCATTATACTTATATTCTTTGTCTGTCCTGTTTCCGGCTGTCTATTATCTTCTCATTAGACAAAATTTCTCCTGTAATCACTGATTGGAGTATGACGCCTTTATATCTTTCCCCTAAATTTATAACACTTAATATAATACATAACTTCCATTCGGATTCTGCTTAGTACATTCTAAAGTTACACACTATATTTTAAAAAAAGAAAAAATTGTAGATATATAATATAATTAAAGCAACAAATCCATGCCAATTCAAATCTATTGTTAATATTAGTATTCATTTAAATCTTAAACATTTTACACATTACTTTTCAAATAAGTATCATATTTCTATGGGAACAATTATAAACTTTCCATAGTTAACACATTATATCATTAAAATGTTCCCATTCCTTCCTAGTTCAATTCTCTCATTTATTTCATTTCATTTATTTTGTTCACAAAAGTTTCACTGAGTTACACTGAGTATTTTATCCCACTTTTTAATCATATGTTATTTTCAATTTTCTAACATAATTTCTAATACAAATATAACAATGCAATCTTATATACCTTTGCAGAATCACTTTTTCAGTTAAATTTTTACCCATTATCTCTAAATAAGTCCTGTTTCTTTACATCTTGCTCCACACCTTTGTAGCTTCCCTTCCCTTCCTTCCTCCCTTGCTTCTTCTCTCTGCCCTTTTTACCCCCTTGTCTCTCCACCTCCATTTCCCTCTTCTGTGTTCCCTTTTTCTGTTGCTTTCTAACATTATATCCACTTTTCACCTTATTTTTCCCTTTTTTGGTTGTTTTTATGGATCTTAAAGTCTCCATTCTCCATTCTGCCAACCTTTCTGATCACCAAGCTCAGCATCTTAGCCACTGAGCCACCGCATCCCTACAGGGCTTATAAATTCTACAGGGCCTATAATTCTATATATATACACTTCCTTTGGCATAATACCCATTCTAACTAAGGGAATTCACTTTTGAGTAGAATAGAATGGAATGGAGTGGAGTGGAGTGGAGTGGAGTGGAGTGGAGTGGAGTGGAGTAGAGTAGAGTAGAGTAGAGTAGAGTAGAGTAGAGTAGAGTAGAGCAGAGTAGAGCAGAGTAGAGCAGAACAGAACAGAACAGAACAGAACAGAACAGAACAGAATAGAATAGAATAGAATAGAATAGAATAGAATTCTTTATTGGCCAAGCGTGGTTGGACACACAAAGAATTTGTCTTGGTGCAAATACTCTCAGTACAGAGGTGGTATTCAGCAGGTTCTGACCAGTTCTGGAGAACCGGTAGCAGAAATTTTGAGTAGTTCGGAGAACCGGCAAATCCCACCTCTGACTGGAGATTCTACAGATCCTTCCCCTGACTCACCCACCAAGCCACGCTCACAGAACTGGTAGTAAAAAAAATTGAATCCCACCACTGTCTCAGCATACATAAAAGATACAATTTATAGCAATGGGCTGGTTATTACAGCTGATTACATTAACAATGTGGATTGATTTACACAGATGCCCCTGGAAAGATTTGGTAACAATAATTTACAGATAGGTTTGAATCAAAGTTTTATTGCTTAATAGTTCTTTTAAGTGTCCAATTGCTGAGCTGGCTCCCAGGTCTCACCAGTGAGAATTTAATCTCCCAAATTTTGTAATTTGGCAAAACCCACAGCAATTAAAGTTTAAAGCTGTTTTCCCTAACAGACACATTTCCTAGAGATCAATATTCTGTTTTTAGTGGAAATTCTCACAAATATATTCACAGATATGTTACAACTGCAAATCCAGAATGGATTATGAGAATTGCGATCTAATAGATTTGGAGAACACCAGACTGGGGAAAATTGCTTTCAATCAAAGTAGGCTAGAAATGAGGGAAGCACCCCATGATAGATATTCTCAAAATGACCCAAACTATGATAAGGCAATTATGTCTGTCATATGGTACTAATCTATATATATAAAAGCGAAATACCACTCAGGCATCATCACAAAATCTCCAGAACCATAAAGCCTACAAACTTGAAATTTGGCACGTATCTTCCTCTTGGCTTCTAGGGGCTCACTAAGAAAGGATTTTTTGAAATGACTATCAGAGCATTCATATTTCGTATATTATTATTAACACGCTCTGATGCTAAGGAGTTTTACTCCCCCTCCCCATCTGAAAAGAAATCTGTTCCAAATGCAAAACACAAGAAGAGGAGTTTCAGTTTCAGTTTTACTTTCACAGCACCAAGCAGCTTTGGTACAGAACACTTGAGCTAAGCCACGCCTAGGCTCCTTGCTGTCTCCTTGCTCACACAGCAAAATAACTGTTTCAGTTTCCAAACAGCCCTCAACTTTCTCACAAATTGACAGGACGCTAGCCAGATGAATACTGATGGATGCTGGTAGACAGAGGCACAATTTTTCCCTTATTTTCCTCCCCCAAAACTAAGTTCAATCACATAGTTTCATAGCAAAGCATGGGTCTAGAGCTAATATCACATAAATTCATGCTAATCTCTGCATGAATTGCTTATTAATGGGTCAGTTGAATATTATCCACAAGATTTACATGTAACCATCTTTTATATGTTGAAATGAACAAACCTTCGCTTTTGAAATAGATTTCCATGCATTGAATTATTACTCTACTAGACAAACAATATATATTCATTTGATTCAGAACTGGTTGGGCTCCTTAATATGTTTAATGCTGTTGGGCTAAATTTCACATATGTGCCAACAGGGCAATTATGCAGATAACTTTTCCCTTGGATACTCCAAAAGCAAAAATCAGCATTAAGTTGAACCTAAAAAGCAACCACGGAATATTCAGAATTTTAAGAGGCATCTCGTCAACAACACATCATCAAGAGTTTGATCAACGAGGCAACCTTAGAACTTTCTGAACCCAACCCTGGAACATACGCCAGGTTTCCATCAAAATATTTCCTCTCTCTGTAGGAGGCACCTATATTATTTTTTGATTCATGGAGGGTTTCCTCCCCGCTCTCTGTAAAATCTTCACGACAGTCATGATGGAGCCCCAGAAGAACTTATTGCCTTATGTGAAGGGCAAAGGGAAATTCTACCCAGGAAGTCCTAGGGGTGATTTGGCCAACGTGATACCTCATCAGTTGTTTGTGTGTGGAAAGATGCTTTTCCTTTCCTTTATCTGATCGCGTGCCAAGTTTATCTTTCAATATTTACTCTGTGGATTGTTTGTTTGGATACCCTTCTGCATATAGCTTCGAAAAAGACAAAAGAGCGAACCCCAGGAAGTTTGTGCTGTGGGGCCGAGCTGGTGGAGTTTATGTTTTCGTTTTTCTGCTCTAGCTTGGCTCTGTTTTCATGGAAACTAAGCATACCGAAGTGGAAATGGGCAATCCCAAACTTGCAGGCTTTCTGAAGCGTTCGATGCCTATATGTGGTACCAATAAAGAAGAATATTGGTGGTTCAGGGTTAAAATGAAGGGTCCTTGATGCTCTCTGAGCTGGATGGTTTTCTTGGGGACATTTCATTACCCAACTAGGTAACATCATCAGTGCTAGAAGGGAATGGGGTGTGCAGAGGAGGAGGAGGAGGAAGAGGAGGAGGAGGAGGACGACGACTATGGGGTCCTTGGTGCTCTCTGAGCTTGGTAGTTTTCTTGCAGGTGTTTCATTACCCAATTAGATAACATCATCAGTGCTAGAAGGGAGTGGGGTTTGGAGGCAGGAGGATGGGGAGGAGATAGTCTGTGAAATCCTTGGTGTTCTCTGAGCTTGGTTGTTTTTTTGCAGACATTTCATTACTCAATGCAATGATGAGTTTGGGCAATGAAACATCTGCAACAAAACAACCAAGCTCAGAGAACACCAAGGACCCTTCAGTCCCAAACTTGTTTAAACTACTATCCTAAGAATAGTCTGATATGACCTTATGAGTGTGTGTATGTGTGTGTGCGTCTATCTATCTATCTATCTATCTATCTATCTATCTATCTATCTATCTATCTATCGGTACATCTAAGAATGATCTAAGATTTACTTATTAAGAAAATGTATATGGCTGCCCAACTCACTCACAGTGTCTCTGGGTGGCTTATGAAAATAAAACCCCAATACAAACCCAATAAACCCCACCAAAGTTCCAATGAAAATGTGCCCTTGCTGTGCAAGAAGGGTCAATGCAGTTCTCAAAGCAATGTTCTTCCAAGCTAAAGCACTTACACGATTTCAGTCTATATAGTAAATAAATAATTTGTAAAGCTCTGCAAATTTGGTCTAGCATACATGTATGCAAGGGGATGCGATGGCTCAGTGGCTAAGACACTGAGCTTGTCGATTAAAAAGGTCAGCAGTTCATTGGTTTGAATCCCTAGCGCCATGTAAGGGAGTGAGCTCCTGTTACTTGTCCCAGCTTCTGCCAACCTAGCAGTTTGAAAGCATGTAAAAAAATACAAGTAGAAAAATAGGGACAACTTTGGTGAGAAGGTAACAGCGTTCCGTGCGTCTTCGGGGTTTAGTCATGCCGGCCACATGACCACGGAGATGTCTTCAGACAGCGCTGGCTCTTTGGCTTTGTAGTGGAAATGAGCACCACCCCCTAGAGCCGAAAACGACTAGCACATATGTGTGAGGGGAAACTTTACCTTTACTTTATGTGTGTGTAGGATTGCACTATGAGCAGTTGTAGGCTTTGGCAAACTAAGCAGTCATCCAGGGCATCAAATTTTAGGGAGTGCCACCACTGAAAAGGTGTCCAAAAATACATATGAGTATAACATATGATATTCCTTCAGTATTATTTGAAAATTTTTCTTTCTATGCTTTTCACAAACCCTTATCCACAAGCCAGTGGAATGGTAACCCAACTTCACATATCGTCCTGATCCTTTGTGCCTGACAATCACTCACTGTTGGTCTACACCTCTTCTGAATGTCACATTTTCCTCGTTTTCTGTAACGCCAATCAATCCACATAGTGCATAATTAACTTTTTCAGAATGATTTTGATATTCTTTCTCCCTAGAATGTTAAAGATGAACGGAGTGATGATGAAGAAGAAGACTCCCTCAGCGATACTGAAGAGGCATGTATGAAGAATGGAATGAAGAATGGATTAAATGATCCTCTCCTAAATAATAATAATAATAACAATAACAATAATAATAATAATCATCATCATCATCATAACAACAACAATAGTAATATTAATTAATGCCCAGCCAAGACCATCTCCTAGTGCCATTACCTGCTGTGTCATAAACCCAACACATCATAAAGACTTTTATATCCACATCAAAACCAAAATCCATGACTGCTTTTTATTGCAGATCTACAGCAGTCTATAGCAGTCTACTTAGCAGAACTCACTTTTGAAAAAGAGTCTCCTTTGTAATATGCAGGCTAGAAGATATGCAATGAAATTATTATTATTTTGAACACTCCAAATGGTTAAGAATGGGAATGAATTTAGAATATAACATTTTTAGACTGAGATCTTCGTGTATTTAAATTTTGATAAGACTTAAAAACAGTTTGGACAAGTTTTTAATAATGTTTTCATATAATTTGAGATGTGTGGCTTTATACTGATTTTATTGATGAGTGGGTTGGTTTTACACAAGGAAAATCCATGCAGTTTGGAATCTGCTTCAGTAAAAGATTAACCACATTTGATCAACAGGCTACTTAGTGGTGGATTCCAGGTAAAGACAGGAAGGTTTTATCGATCCTGCTCTTTCTCAATTCATCTCTTATCAGTGAAGCCCCGGATGTAATTATCAGAGGTAATTGCCGAGTCCAGAAGTGAATTCTGGTTTTAGTGCAATGGTTTTAGAATATATATTTTAAACTTCACTGATTCTTGAGTGTACCTTCCAGTCAATCTTGAGTTCTTGCAACTGCATGGATTTGATAACATTTCTGGAAATTGATGTCCTAAGCCACCAGGTGTCATTGAGACTGAGCTGGGTGATAGTATAACTTTTCTTAAATAAAAAAATCTTCCCTTGATTGAGACTGACTGCTCCTCCCCGCCCCACACGTCATCCATCTGGCATACTGCCTAAGCCAATACTAGAACTCATGGTTTAGTATTTTTAACCACTACACCAAAATGGGGTTCCAAATACACGGGACTATTTATATAGAAAATTAGCAAAGGGATATCTAGATTAGGATTAAAGCCACCTGCTTCAATTGTATTAAGGTCAACCTTGTTTTCTTTTTTTGAATTCTTCCAACTCTGATTTACTTTTTATTTATGCTTTGTCTTTCATTATATAGTCTTGATTTTCATTCTTTGTGCTTTCTGGATTGTTTTATTTATAAATAAAGTGTGATCCCATGGAAATGGGGAAAATATCATCTGAATGCTTTTTAAACAATATGTTGCTTCTTTGTTATGCTTGGCCAAATAGGAGCTAGCTTTATAGCAATAGCAGCAGCACTTACACTTATATACCATTTCACAGTGCTTTACACAGTGCCCTCTCTAAGTAGTTTACAAAGTCTATGCCCCCAACAAACTGGGTCCTCATTTTACCCACCTCAGAAGGTTGGGAGGTTGAGTCAATCCTGAGCCTGGTGAGATTTGAATTGCCAAATTGCTGACAGCCAGCAATCAGCAGAAGTAGCTTGCAGTACTGCACTCTAACCACTGCGCCACCGTGGATGGGTGGGCAGGTGGAAGGAAGGAAGGAAAGAAGGAAGAAAGGAAGGAAGGAAGGAAGAGCAATAGCAGTAGCAGTTGGACTTCTACACCACTTTGCTTTACAGCCCACTCTAAGCAGTTTACAGAATCAGCCTATTGCCCCAACCATCTGGGTCCTCATTTTACCCACCTCGGAAGGATGGAAGGCTGAGTCAACCTGGAGCCTGGTGAGATTCAAACTGCCAAATTGCAGTCAGCTGGCAGTCAGCAGAAGTAGCCTGCAGTACTGCACTCTAAATACTGCGCTACCATAGTTCAATATGTTGAACAATTCTATTTTATTTCACTGAACGGTGACGTCCTTAACAAGTCCTTGACTTATGATCCCAACTGAGCCCAAAAATGCATTGCTAAGGAAGACAGCTGTCAATCTGTCTTGGCATAGGACTCCAAATCAGAGCATCATGGACAAATGTCTACCTATCCTTTGCTTAAACAGAGCCAATAAAGGAGAAGTTGGCTCCTTCCTGGGGAAGTATAAATCCTGGAGCAGAATTACCCTTGGCGTTAGGAAGTTACCTGTCTTTCTTAGTAAATGTCCCAAAGGTGGTTTTTTTCCCCCCAGTGGATTGAAGAATTGAAGAAGCTTCTTGGATGAGAAGCAAAATGTCTTCAACAAAAAAAACAAAGAAAGTCCAGTTGCCTCTTGAAAAAAACACACCTTTGGGACAACAACCATGACTTGGATGACCAAGAATCTCCATAGACGTTTTTAGTATGGTTTAGTATTGCTGAAAATGGTCACCAGGGGGCAGTAGAGCTACACTACTCTGCATGGGAAGCTATGGAATAGCTCAGGAAGATGAAAGAAATCTCTTTGCTTTGTGTTAAGTAACCAGCAGTGAGTGGATAAAAGTAAGGTGCTCCTTTATGCCCTGATCTTCATTTCCTTTTCTTTGAAGCCCCACTACATCAAAGTAATTGCCTTTTGCCCTTGGCTACATTCCACTGTGTGTTTATAGTCTCTGTATGGCATTGCAGCCTTTTATTCAAACGCAAACAATGAAAATTTGGTTCAGTCCAGTGCCTGAGTTCACACAACACAGTAGACAACATGTGATGGGATTTGTGGATCGTATGAACCCATAATTCATTATTTGTATTTAACCTATGGTAATCATTGGTTCCTTGGAAAGTCATTACACTTCACCTTATGCATTTCACTGAGACTATACCCGAAAGGTCCAGTATAAATCAAGTCAATCAAGATACACTATAGACAATGTTATTTTGTGCAAATTATCTTCAGTTTTGCACACCATATTTTAAACCTAGAACCTGAGATTGTGCAAACTTAAAACTGCAGAAATAGTCCATTCAGAAATCAATCTTTGTCTCTCTGTCTGTCTGTCATCTATCTGTCGTCCATCTTTTATCTATCTATCTATCTATCTATCTATCTATCTATCTATCTATCTATCTA